AGGTTTCTACTATATTTCTCTCTCTGTGTGTTTGATTCACGGCTGCCTGATACAAGAGATCATATTACTGTGTGGGGGAACAGAAATGGAGAGAGACACAGGCTTTTTAAAGAGAGAGAGAGAGAGAGAAACAGGAAGTAGGAGAGGAAAGTAGGAAGCATAGAAACAAAATGAGAGAAAAAACAAAGAGAGCAGAGTGAGGCTGAGCAAAAATAATAATTGTGTGTGTCATTATTACAAATCAATATTTGATCTGAAATGAGGTAAAACCTCAGTAGTCATAATTGACATCCTGTATATCACATTGCCTCGCTATAATACTATTTTTCCTTTATAGTACAGAAGTTACAAATCGGCTCTTTGTCTCATTATAAAAAGGATTCTCTGATGCTGTGTGAGGTGATGTGTAGTGGAATGTGTTCAGGTTTAAGGGAAACAAGTTCAACTGTGAGTAAAGTATAGAGCTGTACCAACTGTCACTGCTTTTACATTTAGCTCTCCCTCCACTGGAATTTAATACAAAATATATGAAGAATATCAGTGAAGCCTCATCGGAATCTGCAACAATACTGACAGGATTTGAGTGAAAGCTCAGAGGAACGTCTATGTGGACAACGTCAGTTTAAAAAAGTTCAGTCATAGTCTGAACATGTTGTTGAACATGGTGGCAATTATGTCAGGCAAACACATGCTGTGTAAATCTTCACATTTTAACCACTCTTTTATTGGTTATTGAAAACATATGAAGTATATATTACTACTCTATACATGTCTCTCTATTGCCCTGATAAATCACTCAGTGATATTTTAGCATACAATCATAAAATCATAAAGTAGTGTCAGACTGGCGGCTGGTTGGATGAACAGAATGAGTGAACCACGCTGAGCTCTGATTGGATGACGGGGCTCAGAATGAGCCACCGCAGATGTGAAGAGGAGCAATTCATTTGACACAGACATATTAATGAATTGAAACTTTGCAATATCATGAGGGAACTTCAGCATCTGTTTAAAATCACACAGATATCTGGTGGAAAAGGAAACTATTGAATTAAACCTTGTGAAAGAAAGGACATTAGAAAAGGAGAAGAGAGAGATGGGATGAACCATGGGTGTAAAGCCTCTTTCACACCAAACTGACACCAAAGAACACGTCCCGGCGAAACGTCGCCTCACGTCTCTGCGTCTTGGCCATGTGTCGCACTGGAACACACCGCAAAGACTTCAGCCGACGGACAAGTAGCACGTACGAACTGTGCATGCGTGAGTGGCAATAACTCTCCTTACCAGCAGGTGGCGGTAGTGTGTATTCGTCATTCAAAAGAGGCAACAACCGGAATACAGACTGCGTGTTAACCGAGACAAGAAGAACAGACTGCGTGATATAAACAAACAACACATAGCGTGTGCGTTCCATTTTCACTCTACAGCGAGAAGCTCACGGGGCTTTCCCGAACCTGTGTCGAGAGCTGGAGTTAAATGGAATCTCAGATTTGCCTTCTTAATAGTTTGTTTGGGTCCCTCACTTCCGTTTCGCTTCTCATGCACTGATTCGCTAGCTGAACAGCCAATCAGAGTGATTTCTTTGGCCGACGGCCTCCCGATTCAACATGTCGAATTGGCGGCGGAAGGTGTCGGCACGGCCGAAAAGACACAACGGTGCGGGACACACCAATCTGAGTTGGGCGACACGACGCTCATTGACGGCCTGACATCTATCGACGCCGAAAATCGACTTGGTATGTAAGGAGCTTTAGAGGAAGGGTGAGAGAGAGAGGCAGGGAGAGAGGGCTAATGTAAACATGATGATTGTGAAAGCTTGGTGAGGTATTTCTAAAGCAAATAGAGAGGAAGAGAGCATAGGAGAACAGCAAAAAGTCAGGGAGCATGATGAGATTTTGAGAAATGTAGAGAAGCTCAGAGGAACAGTTATATTGAATAGTGGACGGATGAGAAAAAGCCATCAAGTGCAGATAGAACTATAAAGGGCTTTCCACACCAATAACCATAACTATAGATGTCATTATATTATACATATCAGCAATAGCTGATTTCTGATCATAGGGAGGCGAGACTGTTGTCATAAGGCTTCCTGAAGTTATTCTATATAGCCTACCTGCTAGCATTAGCCTTTATAATTATTTCTTAATTTACGTAAATAATAATATCTAAACACTCTTCAGTGAATTAAGGTTGAGCCAAATTGCATGGATGTGTATTTATTGGCTCTCAAATTGCGCAGAACATGATCCAAAGATATTGTTTGTTGCTGTTAAACTACACTCAGATATTTGCATTTAGTGTTGTATCATCATCTGTATCAACACTCTAAAAGGACGCTGTTTTTTTAGATGTTACACAAGGTCATTATCAATGGTTGCCAGTGAATTGCCTGGCAATATGTTATGGGGGGAGGGGCGATGCAGGACTGCATAGCAACGTGAAAAAAAGTGAGGATTTGAAAGAAACTGCTGCTTCAGGTTCAGTCCTGCTAATGTTG